ATCAATCTCAAATTCACTCATCCAAACCTGGCATCTCCGAATGACATTCTAATGTAAGAATGTTATCACATAACAATGAGTACAAAATACACATGCTTAGAGATAAGATACCAATGCTTGGTTGGTTTCTTCAGATGGAATGGGTGGTGGTGTATTCATCTCAACAAAACTGAATTTTACACATTACCGAATGTGAGATTTAGAAGAATCTTGATAATTGTTATCTATTATGGTAATGTTCAATTATAGTAAACATACCACAACAGTTAGAGTGGAAATCGTTCTGAACAACCTGACCGAAGCTGATTAAGTGGAGAAAATCCGAAATCCATAACATGTTCTCAAAACTGTTGTAACACCAACACAGAACAACCCATTGAAAGCTAAACATTTTTCCATATATGTGAATTATTGGAATGAAAGCGAGGAACACATTGTCTTAAGGTGCTGAAACATCAGCATACCAATAGAGTAGTTTCATTATGGTTATGAGATTTGAATAGGTAGACCGGGAATCACCTATTCCATGTTGTCTATGATAATCAAACATCAAAGTCTCAGCCACACGTTTCCCCTCATCATAGCAGCTACGAACTCCTGTTATGGACATAGTTAAATTTTTAGTTAAGATACATTCTCGTATTATCTTCTTAAGTCAATAACTAATGGTCGTATGCCAAGATAAAGAATAATCAAACAATAAGCCATTTATATTTTACACAAGTTAAATATAACAGATCTTCAAGGTTTTCTCTTTAACCTGCAAATTCCATAACATCAACAGACAGTTTCAGACACAAAATTTGCAAAAAGTCATGGCAAAAAATAGTTATGCTACAGATAAATAATCAATTTGTTGGACTTGGAAATTTTCATATGTTCTAAATAATATTTGTTGGTGAGTGTAGATAGTAGATACTGAAAGCTGTAGTCAACTCATATTATTATGGCAAAGGTGTAACTCAACAAAATGGTACAGGAATTTTATGGCAAAAGAAGGGCCACATACATTGTAGTGACATATTTTACTTTTTCTAAATATTTCTTGGTAAATGCGGGGAAAATATGAAAAATGGAAATTTTTTTATTAAAATAACCAACATTTCACCCCCTAAATGTCAATATACCCAACATTTTAAGTTATTATTCAATCTACCTTAGTTTCAGTTTTTTTTATTTGTCGGGGGCGCCATCTAGGATGAAGGGCACCCTTATAAATTAAAGGGGGGCACCATCCATGATAGAGGCACCCTTTAAATTATAAAGGGGGTGCCATCCCCTTTGGAGGCACCCCTTATAATTTAAAGGGGGGGTGCCATCCCCTTTGGAGCCCCCTTTATTTCGTTTATTTTTTTTAATTCTAATATAAATAATATAATTAATATTTAATATTATTTTAGACCAAATTTATTTGTATAAATAGTTAGAGTTGTTTCATCCAAATTAATATTGTTTCATCTAAATTTAGGAGAGTGAGTCATGTATCTTAGAAGATATGAGCATGTTATTTTCTCAAGAACGAAGCCTCCGATAAGGATGTTGTTTTGGAACATCCAGAGTTTAGAGCAACTACGAAGAAATTTGAATCGGTGATTAGAAGGAGATATTCCAAATGATGAAAGCATTAGGAGTATTGAAAGACTTGTTTCGTTGTGGTAGATTGTGTCTCCATGATAGGTTGGCCAATAGTCCTCACTAGCTACCACTGGAAAACTGTTATTGTAGATATCAAATAAGTTCACGACCTTGTAAATTTCTAATAGTTTCAAGAATGGATTGTGACGAGCACTGGAACATGCGGCAATGACATGTGAACAAGGCATGCGAAAGGTTTGAAACTTTCCGCAGTCGCACCAATTTTTATGAATTTCCACCCTGTAGTGTCCCATTGGCCGACCCTTGTTGTGATCCATTGTCTCATCAACAATGAAGTTGTAATCGTGACGATCAAATGACCTAACTCGATGTGAGACCGCCTTAGAAGTTTCATCCTTCATATATTTCATACATGATTCGCTGAATATTTGCCCTGATTCCAAAACAGCGCTCCATTTTTTGCCTCTTGCCGCAAAAAGTGACCCCAATCTGTAATAGGTTGCTCTTACCAACGCAGTGATGGGGAGGTTCCTAGTTCCCTTAAATACGCTGTTCAGGGATTCTACAAGATTTGTGGTCATGTGACCTCATCTGCATCCTCCATCAAAAGCCCTTGTCCATTTATCGACTGGAATGCTATCCACCCACCTTAATGCTTCCGCGCTTGACAATCTTATTTCTTCGCGGTAATACATGAACAATGGTTGGTTTAAGACATACCCAGCGTTCACAACTTTTTTACGGAGATTTATATCTTTCATTTCCCGCATAAAATTCTGAGCAATGTGTCTTATGCAGTAGACATGGACAGAAGGAGAGTTGTGCCAACCATTAGCAGGATTGTTGTAGGCGCTCACAATAGAGGCATGTCTGTTGGAAATCAGACATAAGTTGGGTTGAGGAGCGACATGTGTTCTGAGATTTCAGAGGAAGAAACTCCAAGCTTCACCTGTCTTACCCTCGACCAGGGCAAAGGCAATCGAAAATATATTATTATTTTCGTCTTGTGCAACCGTCATCAATAATGTTCCTTTGTATTTTCCATACAACCATGTTCCATCGACTTGAATAACCGGTTTGCAAAATGTAAAACCTTTGATACATGGTTGAAATGCCCAAAAGAGACGAGAGAATATCCTACTTCCATCAACATATGTTCCTTCAGGAGTGTATGCTGGTAGTGACTCCAATATTACAACCGTACCAGGAACATATTTTTGAAGTGCTAGTAAAAACTATGGAAGTTGATTGTAAGATTTTTCCCAATTCCCATATACATGTTCAACCGCTTTTATTCTTCCAATCCAAGTTTTCCTGTACGATGGGGTATAGTTGAACCGTGCAACAACATGAGAGATAATCGTGCTCACCTTCACAGATGGATCTACGCCCACAAGATGCAAAATCTCTTGGCATATTAATTGAGAGCTTAGTTTTCCATGATCTTGCCGATTGATGTTGGTTGTGCAACTATGAGGTGGATCCATCGAACCTATCTCCCAACAATCACTTCTTTTCCGATAGGACGCTGCTAACCGAAACTTGCAACCTTCGTTACGACAAACTACGACATAGCATTTTGATTCGTTCCGATTGATGTAAAAATCAAATAAGTTATCCATATGAAACTTTCTTATAGCTTTCATACACTCTTCTTTTGTGCGGTACTGGTTTCCCACTTTCAAAACACCTTCAATTTGTTGAGAAGGATTGTAGAAAAAATCTGAGGAAGTATCGTCTCCACTCAATTGCAAGTTAGTCATGTGTTGGGGAGGACAATACACATGACTTAATGGTAGTGTCTCTTCATCTATGTCTTGATATGGAGTTATTGCAGTATAGTCCCCAGTCCCGAACAAATTAACCATTTGATCAACCATGGCCTCCGGTTCTTCTTCCTCCTCGTCCGCAACATCAACTTTATCTAGATCCGTTGTTTGGTCGTGAGATTCACCAACTTCATATTGAGTCTGGCAGAGTAATACATAAACCTCTATATAGTCGAACTCAGAGTGTTCATGACTATCAAACATTTGTTGAACGTCATTGTCGTCTTGTATATTCTCTTGAAAATACTTGATCTGATTGTTGTCAAAGAAAACAAGACTTCTATATATGATTTGAGTGATTGGACCAGACAATATATTCGACTCTATTCGCTCTTTGAAATGTAAAAAATTTGATTTTCTGCTCATTGTTAATCGGGTAACATCTGTATTTTGAAACCCAAAACCGGAATTTTCAGAGATGTATGTGTCTCCATTAAAATGAGCATGAACAATATAATTTTTTGTTCTAGACATATTTGAATAAAAGTGTAAGAGATGTATTTGCATAAAATGAGATGTATTTAATTTTTTTCTTCAATGTATACATATATAATAAAAGTGTACGAATAAAATATTAATAAATGGTAAAAGGAGGCGCCATAGGGGTTGGCTCCCCTTCCTTAAAGTTAAAGGGAGGCATCATAGGGGTTGGCTCCCATTCCTTAAAGTTAAAGGGAGGCGCCAAAGGGGTTGGAGTCACCTTAACATGTGTACGAAAAGCAAAATTTACATGCATGTAGAATGCCAAGAGTGGAGGATTCTCTATACACTTCAACCATCTCATTTACTTTTCTACACATCAATAAATATTTCAACTATACCAATTTAATTTTTCACTCTACCATAAATTCAAAATTCAAAATTCAAATTCAATTTTTTTAATTATAAATACTTCTTCCTCCTCTTTGTCAAAACTCATCAAATATATCCAATAATTCAAATTCTACCAATATTTTCTTCATATATTCACACTATATAGTCCATAGAAGAAATGTCTCTGTTAACATTGGGCGAAATACATAGAGGAACACCAAGCAACATCGCGTCTTATGTAAGTATTTGTACCCGATAATTCACAATGTTGTATTGATTTGTAGCATTCTACTGTTGTTATAAATACAATGTTGTAATGATTTTTAGAATACTCATGACTTCTGAACTTGTGGGCATAAACATTTCCCACATGACCCGATAATTCAACCATATTTGGCGCGCACAGGATTTGGAGAAGTCATCAAAATAACAAATTATCTCCTTGATACGAAGTTCATTTTAGCACTTCAAGAAAGGTGGCGACCCGAGACGCATACATTTCATCTTCCAATACGTGAATGTGTTGTTACTCTCGAGGACACTTACATGTTATTGGATTTATCTATTAATGGTAAGGCGATAAACGGTCTCACCAATCCTAGCGGTAGTGTGATAGAAGAACTTTTAGGGGTTGAACCAACCCCGCACGATTTGAGGGGCCAAAAAATATTATTATCATGGCTCAAAATTTTTTTTGGAGAGATGAGGTTAACTCGAGACTCTCCAGAAATATTGAAAATTAGAAAAACAAGAATTTATATTATGCTATTAATAGGTTTATTTTTATGTCCGGATTCAAGTGGTAACGCTATTCATCCTATGTATTTAGTTTTATTAGATGACATAGATAAAATAAGAACATATAGTTGGGGGTCTGCTACACTAGCGCACCTATATCGGTATTTGTGTAACAACGCAATAGCAAATTCGGGAAATTTTACCGGATGTGGTGTTCTTTTTCAAGCTTGGGGTTGGTCAAGAATGACCAATCTAGAACCTATCCAACAAAATAATTTCGAATTCCCATACGTTACAAGGTAATTACTTAGACCAAGAATGACCCATATTTCATAGTCTTTTACTTAATTAATCCTATTATTAACAAATGTTTTCTTTTCGATTTGTAGGTGGTCTTCACTTGGGATGAATTACGACAACTGTCCTCATTTCAGTATCACCCAGTACAGAAATATTATAGATCATTTGGGTCAAGATGATGTACCCTCACTAACCTACCTATTAGAATATAGTCTCCTTGAATATTATTAGAAAATACTAAATATTTTTTTTCTCCTACAGTTTATTTGGAGGCCATATCTTGGTCTAGAAGTCATTCATGAAGTTGACGAACACGACTCTGCAGTGTGGAGTGCAAAGGTGCCGATTATCAACTTCACCACCGTGGAAATGCACAACAGTGATCGTGTCAAGCTTCAGTTTGGAATGCTACAAGATATTCCATGTCCGCCAAAATGCATCCCCGACAAGTTTCACATCGGTAAAGTCTCCGACCAATGGGAATATACTCCATGGACCAAGTATGTAAAACATGAGTGTCGTGAATGGAAGCATCGCCGCCATTTTGTTTTGTCCTACACTGTGTTTCCATACGAGAGAAAACAGTTTATCCAATACATGAATTGGTATAGGTCGGTATTCATTGGTTTCATTTCGCATCCAAGATATCTGGTTGACCCACGCCAACAAGTTTCATCATCAAGACCCCAACAACCTACCCAACCCCATTTCCAACCGCCAACCCAACCCCCACTCACACAACCACAACTCCATGAACATACGCCTAAGTAATCCACCCCATTCACACAAACTTATTCACAGTCTGAATACCAACAATATCCACCACCATACCAAACATACTCCATGGATACTACAAACCAATTTAACACCCAGTTTCAAACACCCAATCAGCCCACCCTACGACCAGGAAGGATGTTGTCCTGACATTGCCTCATCCAGCCAACCACCCCAACATAATTATGAAGGCATGGGCAACCCTTTTAATTTGGATGACTTTGCGGAGATGGACTCGTCTTCATGGGCCGAAGTGATCCAATTTCTTGAAGACGACACAGTGGACCCGACTCCATCACAAAGACCACCAAGAAACGTACGTAATCGAGGATGCTGTACAGGCGGACATTTACATCGACCTAGTCGTAGAAATTAGTGTACCATATCTCTCATATGTACCCATTTGTTATTAAATGAAAGTATTAATTATTTTTAATTTTTTATTTATTAAATACAATTTAATTTTTATTTGTTATTTAGAAATTATTAATGAAAATATTAATTATTATTTAAATATTAATGGTTAATAAATATTAATATTATTTAGAAATTATTAATGAAAATATTAATTATTATTTAACTATTAATTGTTAATAAATATTAATATTATTTAGAAATTATTAATGAAAATATTAATTATTAATTATTTATTAATTGTTAATAAATATTAATATTATTTATAAAATTATTAAAAAAAATTAATTAAACATATTAAATATTAAAAATTAATTAAAAAAATATCGTATAGGGGTGCCTCCATCATGGAGATGGCGCCCCCCTTTAATTTATAAGGGTGCCTCCATCTTGGATGGCGCCCCCTCATAAATTAAAAAAAAAGTGAAACTTGGGTAGATTGGATAATATGTTGAAATGTTGGGTATATTGACATTTAGGGGGTGAAAACATGGTTATTGTGGTAAAAATTTCGAAAAATGGAAGAAATAAAACGGGAAGGTAGGAAACAATATGGTAATTAATAATAGTTACTCTTGTCAACTCACCACATGTAACATCATCAGAATAAATAATATGTTCCTCTCCCTCAGGCGCACGAAGTAGCTCAACAGCAGCAAGACTTGTGACGTAAAGGGCAGGCTGAAGAAGCAGATAATTAGATGGTAAATTTACATATATGACACTTTTATAAACAACAAAATTTCATGGAGAACAAAGTAGAATTTTTTACCCACATGCTCAAGTTTCTCCATGTTATTTTTCAATTTACCCAACATTTTAATTTATTTTTCAATTTATCCATGTTTAAAAAAAGAATTTTTTTTGCATATAATGGGGACGCCGTTGGCTTTGGAGTCACCCTTATAATTATAAGAGGGGCGTCATCCCCTATGGAATCACCCTTAAAATTTACAAGGGGGCGCCATCTCCTATATAATCAACATTAAATGATTAGGATGAGGCGTTACCCCATTTGGAGCCCTAATTTATTTAATTATTAATAAATCATATATTATATATGTTTATAATATTTATTATTATTTTATTTAAACAATTTTTTGTATAAATAGATGAGGCTTGTATATTCTTTCACACTTAAATTACCATTGTTTCTTACAAATTTAGCAGAGTGAATCATATATCTTAGAAGATATGGGCATGTCATTTTCTCAAGAACCAAGCCTCCGATAAGGACGTTGTTTTGGAACATCCAAAGTTTAGAGTAACTACGAAGAAATTTGAATCGCTGGTTAGAAGGAGACATTCCAGATGGTGAAAGAATTAGAAGTATTGAAAGATTTGTTCCGTACTTCTCAATTGCAGATGGAAATATACGGCGTGAGTGGGTGCGAATTAAAGATGACAACGAAGTTAGGTCTATGATGTTTGGAACTGATGGTATTACTTTGATTGTTGTTATATCATAGTTTATGTTGTAATAATCCTTATACTTTTAATGATTTGCGTTGTTGCTTTAGATGTATTTCAATTTGTTTTGTGGTAAACAAAAGTTGCTATAAATATTAAATTCCAAGGTTACACATTTTTTAATGACCAAAGTAAATCTATCTAGAACTTGTTCCAACATTTGGACAATCTTTCCATTTTCTCAGTTGTACCCATTTCAGTTCTAACTCGCCTGCTTTTGGGGCGGCCCGAGAAGATGATGTACCGTCACTAACCTACCTATTTGGAATAGAGTCATATATATTATTTCAAAATCCTAAATATTATTTTTTCTCCTACAGTTTATTTGGCGGCCATATCTTGGTCTAGAAGTCATTCATGATGTTAACGAACACGACACTGCAGTATGGAATGCAAAGGTGCCGATTATCAACTTCACCACCGTGGAAATGCACAACAGTGATCGTGTCAAGCTTCAGTTTGGAATGCTACAAGATATTCCATGTCCACCAAAATGCATCCTCGAGAAGTATCACACAAGTAAAGTCTCTGACCAATGAGACTATTCTCCATGGACCAACTTTGCAAAACATGAGTGTCGTGATTGGAAGCATTGCCGCCATTTTATTTTGTTCGATACTGTGTTGCCATACGAGAGAAAACCGTCTATCCAATACATGAATTGGTATAGGTCGGTATCCATTGGTTTCATTTCTCATCCTAGATATCTTGTTGACCCACGCCAACAAGTCTCATCATCAAGAACCCAACAGCTGACCCAGCCTCATTTCCAACAACCAACCCAACCCCCATTCACACAACCACAAGTCAATAAACATACCCCTTATCAATCCACCCCATTTACACATAGTTATTCTTAGTCTCAATACCAACAATATCCACCACCATACCAAACATACTCCTATGATACTACAAACCAATTTAACATGGACTATCAAACACCCAATCAACCCTTACCCACCCAAACATTTACATCGATGTCACCTTACTTTCTCTTTAATATATTATTTATTAAATATGCATCAAAAATAATCATTTAAAGGTGACTCCATAGAAGATGGAGTCCCCTTGTAATTTTTAAGGGTGACTCCATAGGGGATGACGCCCTCCTTATAATTATAAGGGTGACTCCAAAGCCAACGGCGCCCCCCTTATACGCAATTTTTTGTTTTGTTTTGAAACATGGGTAGATTGGAAAATAAATTGAAATGTTGGGTAAATTGAAAAATAACATGGAGAAACTTGGGCAAGTGGGTAAAAAATTCAACAAAGTAATGGATGTGTTCATGTGTACAAAATAGCACCATATATATATTTGCTTTGTGATTCTTTTTCACGATTCTTTTAAAATACTGATTAGATATGAAATATTTAAGGCCTAATGAGGAAGGAATGAAATGCTCAAATGTGGAAAACGTGGCCTTGGGGATCAGACTCTGGCCATGGGGTTCAGACTATGGCTTTGGGTGATCATACTCTGGTTATAACTCTTAGACACCTATTTCCCCTTTAGGTTAACAACAAATATTTTAAATCATCAAGAGAGATTTAAAGATAAATGCTCCATCAAGGAACTGGAAACATCATTAATTCAAGAGAGATTTAAAGATAAGTGCATTCTTAAATGAGGCAGCCTATAATTGGGAACATTGCCTCTGTACAACCTATGTGTATAATGCCAATTTAGTACGCTCAATTCAAATTAAGCCATACCTCAAACACATAAAACTTGTCTCAAAATGACAACCAGTAAAATCAAGTAACAGTAATTGATAAAAAGCCTTCTCAACTGAACAAAAGATCATATAACATGATAATTTTAAACATATAAAAAATGATATTCAATTATCTAAAATAGTGATGATAGAATGCACTCACTCAACTATAAAAACACTTGAAGAAGACAAAATTATATTAATCTGACAACATCTCCAAGGCAATTGAAGAAATGTGATATATTAATTATATTTTTGCCAGAGTAGATATCTTCGGCTGGTCCACCTTGTGAACCTTGCGCTGCAATTTCATTAACATATATAAGTCTTGATAGGCATCTAAGGATAACATTGAGCATAAAACATGAGTTAGAATGAGTATAAGTATAGCAGCAACCGGAGCTAGAATCAACATACCAGCCATATTTGACTCGATCCCTATCCTGTAGCTCTGCTTCAAGGAAGCGATAACCACACATAAACTTTTCACTCTAATAAGAGTCCTGCTTGCCTAAAAGTAATAGAATAATAATTATTAGTTCTGTTAATATTACAAAAAAAAACTCATCTATTATGCACACCGAAAGGAAATATTCATTAGTACCAAAGCGTAAAAGAAATGGTGACAACCCCATTTTGTCATATGTATTATCATCACGAAAATGAATTCCATTCAAAAGACTCTAATCTGTAATTCCCTCGGCTTCCAAAAACTCGCAAGTCTGCTCCATTTGTCTGCACAAAAGGAAAGACATTATCATCATTCAAATATGTGGACTGAGAATAAGGTGTGAATTATGAGTACAAGACACAAGACAGTCATCATTCAAATTTAGTTAACAGAAAAATCAATACAAATAGTTCATAAAACCATCAGTGTCGATCTCAAATGCGGATAGCATAAAATTCCAGTTGGTCAATAATGCTACAGTCCTATAGCGCCACTATAGCGACTATATGGAATCAGTTTGAACTATACAGTACTAAATATCAAAAAGAAAATAATGATTTATACTAAATATTGTATCATGGAACAATAACGATTTGTTCAAGTTCCAATACCATAATAATATATGTGAGATATTGGATCAAACTCTCGTATCGTCGACAGAGGTTTAGCATGCCATCAAAGTCTGCTCACATGCTATTGTCGAAGACATACATGCTGCAGTCGAAATATGTACTAGTATGTAGTTGTCGAATTAGGCCTTGTGTTAAGGATCCAATTGTTTAAGTTAACTTGTACCCTAAGTTAGCTTGTAATGGGTAATTGTTAAAAAGCTCATTAGTTTAGTATGTTAGGTTTTATTATAAATAACATACTAGTATCTCATCTTAAGTGTGAAAAATCCTAATTAGGGTGAGAGAGTTATTTGTTATTCTTGAGTACTTGTAATC